ACTGTTGCAGGGCTGGTCAATATTCTCTTCCTCGGCGTCGAAAATAGCGAGCAAAGCTACCGAGAACGCGATTAAGATCGGAGGACTCGCGACGCAAAAGGCAAGTTCGCAAAAGGCAACGTTCGAAAAAAGAATTCGAACATGCAAACTAATTAGGGATTAAAACAATTTCTTCCTTTTCTTAAATAATATTGAAGAATAGGATTAAAGCTTATTGTTTCATCTATCTTCGATATTAGAGAATTACTACAGCATAAATTTACATAAAATCACAAATGTGCGAGATGTATTGGTTACACATATCATTATTACTTTCGTAAATTTATTTTCTTTAATTTCTCTTCTGTCAAAATTATAATTATTTTATTTTTTACATTAATTTTTATTTTGTTTTTCCCTTCTTTTTTTTGTATTATATTATTAGGTTCGTGACGGCACATTGTTAGAGGACGTAGGAACTCAGGTCAATCATTTGGTTACAAAGGTATAAATTCTTTCATTTGCTTTCTGTTCTATTGCTGACATTATTTAATTGTCATTAAGATCAACGTGTCAAAAATTATTTTCACAAGTTATAAAAGTGAATGTCTTATTGAGAGTCGAGAAATTTAGGGACTAATTTAGACTAATGCACAAGGTTGGGGATATAACGAGACGGGGAGGATGGGGTGACATTGCTGGGACCAATTCAGCGGAACAACAAAGGCAATATGATTCCATGGACCGATACCAGTCCTCTAACACGTATCAGAATAGCGATTCAATACAATCGAATCGCTCCAATGAAAAATCGTCTCTCGTAAGAAGCTCCAGTTCAAAGTACGTTCCTTCTAAACTTTTAGCAATCTATATTTATATATAAAAATAAATGTTCATCAGATTATCGATTTTATTAATAAATTCGTGCTAGTGAAACACAATTAATTTTTTGAAATTTATCCTTTGCTTATTTCAGAAGTAACATTTCTACCGGAGATTCCTCCAATATTTCCAACTGCGATTGGGATTGGGGCAATGACGCAAGACAAACGGGCAAGACGATAACTTCGAAGAGGCACGCGAAAGCGGAGAAGAAGGAGGAATCATTGATCAATTTCGAAACGGACAATAAGGCACAACAGAATTGGAACTCGAAAGCGGAAGACGACGCCTGGGAAATACTAAATAATTAACTCTGATCAATCATTAGCACGAATTAGGGAATGAGGATATCGGTATATGTTATTACTGAAAATTAAAGAGAATACGGATAACATTATACAAAATGTATTTCTTACGAAGCGACCCTCACAAAATAGGGTATACATTTTCTTCAGTAATTTGTAATGCGGTAAGTGACAAGCTATATTTGTTATTAACGTATTAATTTCAATTTAAATATAAACAGTCCTCTAATATACGTATATGTATATGTAAAACAAAAATGATAATCTATCTATTTTCGAGTCTGATAATCCTTTCTGGGATTCCAAATACTCAAACTCCAAAAGGTCTTGGAATCAAAGAACTTGAAGAATTCGAAATTATAAATCCAAAATCCGAGTGTAATCCGTCGATATTTAGGAACAGTTTTCCGTTGTTTTTTTATTCAGCGTCTCATCCCTGAAATACGTGACAATCATTATTTGGACAGCCATATCATGAACTCTATGAAAATTAATCCTTAGATACTCAAGTAGTCAAAAACATCATAACATTGTAAATGCAAAATCTTTTATTACCGGCACAATGTTGTAAGCATTGTATATTATACAACAGTTGCGAAAAACTTAAATAAAATTTTATTTAAAAAATGCGAAAGTATTCTTCCTGTAATGAAAACACATTCGATACAAGCAATGATACATATAATTATAACGATTAAATACAGATGGATGCACGTTGCACCATCATGTTTAAATAAAATAAAACAATTGTACGTATGAAGAAAATTCTAAAATTTGAACCGTCTAAGAAAATCATAAAGAAGGTACCTAAGGATTAATATAGTGAGATGGAGATCAGCGACAACTCTTAACTTTTTCCCGAATACGTTCTCCTGACTGCCGACCTGCTGTAGATATGCGTTTCACTTAGAAAATTCAGAAGGCTCGGTTGCATGTTTGGCCATACCTCCTCCATTAGTTCCGACAACAATTTATATAAAACGTTGGCGGAATTACGCGAGAGATGGGGTACTGGCTGATTCGTTGTCACTTTGTGAAGAAACTGGTATAATTCTCTGTAAATCATGCATCACGTATCGTCGATTACTTAGCAATTTTATGAATTGAAAACCTTAAGTATCTGACATATGAAGCGAAGAGACGTAAATAATAGAACTTTTGGACGCGATGCTCCCAACGTCATACCTGAAGTTACATTCTACATCTTCCCGATCGTCCTCGGGCGACGGACGTTGCTCGTACAACGCAATGAATAACAACGCCAAAGGTACATTGCATTCGTCTTCCTCGAATAAACCACTACGCAGCCAATCGACTATCGAGGGTTTGTTCTTAACAGCAGTCTCTGTCAGTTCAAGTGCAGACTCCATTTTAGAATGGTATTCCTTCATAGACATGCCTGGGATAACGTTAAAAGGAAGATCCTGACATCCGTGTCTGAAGAGAGCGTTCAATATCATAATCGTGTTCTCTTTGTCGCCAAAGGGAAGCCCTTCTTCCTTCGGTTTACCATCGTTACCGTCGTTTTTCTCCATTCTAATTCCGATAGTTGCTCTGATAAACGATCTCTGAAACGCTGCAGGAGATACGAGACGTTACTCTGATTGTGAGACCAAAAAGGTCTTGGTGAATAGATGAACAATAAATAATCAGTTAATTAATTATAATGACGTTTACGTCTCTCATTGGCAAGTACTACGTTTACGCGAGCGTTACTTCTGTAGTAACTTTGTGTAAACGAATGAATTATCGTAAGTCACTACAGAAGGAACGCTCGCGTAAACGTAGTGCAGGTTAACCAGGTTAGGATTCATTCGAAGCGTTTTTCCTAAAGATCAAAACGTACCTTTCGGATGACAACTGCGTTAAAATATGTAGTTCAACTTTCTCTCCATTATCGTGCAACTGATTGCAACCGTTGTTACAATCATAATTATGAGATATCGTTGCTTCTCTTCGGTAGTACGGCATGACATGACATACCTTACCTCATCGCGTCTGATCGCGTCGCGTTAACAGTTTACTCGAATTTTTTGCTTTTGATAAGAATTGTGCGGTAGCCAATCATTTTTCATGTATGTGGACAACAATGGACAATTTGTCCCGATTGTTCTGATTCTAGTGAAGCAACACGCGAACGCGACACGATTTGGAATAATTGAAATCGGAATGTTGGCCATCATGAAGCATTATTATTATTATTTTTTTCCCTAACCGTGTCGTGTCCGTGTGCGCGCATACACTGGCATAGAAGTGTTATGTTTACATCGTGATCGAGGCTGTAGACAGACGTTGGTTTTGCAAGCTTCTCAGAACTCAGAACGAGCCGATCCCTTTTTTCCAACGGATGTTGTGACCTGTTATATTATAAAGCTGTCCAACCTCGACGAGTGAGTATTTGAATCGCGAGGGAAAGAGAGAGTGCGAGAATAACGAATGTCTTGTTTAAATAGGTAAACGGTTTTCAGTTGTAAGAAAAATCTAAGAGGAACTCTAATCTCCGATTATGATTTATGTTTGGGACTATTTTTTTTCATGCATCAAATTATAAGGGAGCTTTGTTGAACCATGGACATTTCATCTTCTAAACAATCTAAACTGTTATAATTGTAAAAAAAAAGCAACTCCGCTACAGTTTTGAAATATCAACCGTTGCGTCTAAGATATTTCAGGCAAACAATAAAAAGTACAATTTTAGAAACACATTTGATCAAGAATATATTCTTAATATTTGACAATTTAAAAAATGTATGTAATATACATAAAAATGTAAATATTATTTAAAATATGTATTTAATAACTTAAGGATTACTTATATTATTAAGGCTCGGTTGCACCAACATGGCATTAATTTAACTTTAGCTTAACTCACTCTTTGTCTCTTTTTAACTGTCCCCCTTAGAAAGAGACGAAGAGTGAGTTGAACCAAGGCTCTCTCCAAGGTTGAAGTTTATGCGACGTTGATGCAAACGGGCCCAAGAGGCTTTTGAGCATATTAAAATTTGTTCCAATAATGGCGGCAAATCAGGGAAACGTCAGTTGCAACGTAAGTATGCTTTGTTTGTAGAAAGGACTGGAAGCGAGCCAGCATGCCGGAGCCTGTGAATCACCAGGTGAACGCCGCTCGTAAGACGTTCCAGACTTTATACCAGATCTCCAAACTGCTCAACACAAATCTCGACCCGACTACTTTGAGCATCTGTATCAGACTGTGCGAGAATGGGGTGAATCCGCACGCTCTCGCAACCGTGGTGAAGGAACTTCAACGAGAAGTCAAGGCAATGAACGACGCACAACTGGAATCGACCGCCAGCAAGACTAGCGTGAGGTCAGCGAGTGAACGCGACCAAGTATAACGCTGTTGCACTGTCCTCAGAATTTATCTTGCGTTGTTCAATAAATGTTCTCGAATGTAGATAGCATATATTTCATTTATTATACAAACTAATAAACGCACAATAGAGATTCAACACTTGATAGATTGAAAACTTTTTGCTGAAAACGACTCGAAAAAAAACTTATCAAAAAAATACTTTGTAAAAAAGTAGATAAACGGAAAATGTGTTTATCAGAAATGCAGTAACGCGTCTCGAGTACGAAAGATTACAACTCTCCTTCCTTTGTCTTGACACTTGGCTTTCTCAATGACTCGTCAACTAAAAAGTTTTGTTCCTGGAAAGAGATCAATGTTTGCTTAATCTTTCACAACATTTACAAACGCATTAGCGCATTGGGATTTTGTCGTTACCTTTAGCGATGGATAATACGTTTGCCCTTCGATAGTAACATGAGCCACTTCAGGATGCTGCAGCAAATAATTTTTACCTTCGAGAGCCTGAGATCCGTCGTGGAACATGAATATATAACGTTTATTTTCGATTGGATATCTGCACAATAATCATAATGAAAATTTTTACTAATCCTCCATCCTGGAATGCTCTTAAAGCATCTGTGTGTGTGTGTGTGTGTGTGAAATTTTAGGTGTAACGATGTTCTACCTTTCCGCAGTGATATGATTGTTTTGTAGGCCAGTCTGCCAAATACGCGTCGCGATATCGGCTTGCTCCTCCGAGACGTTTGACTGGAGGTCTACGAACATCATAACGCCTTTCCCCTTTTTCGTCAGTTTCAGCATACTCTCTGGATTCCTTATGTCTAGCTGCACGATGGATCGTGCATTTAAAACAAGTAAAGTGTTAAAACAAGTCAACTCTTGCACCTTTGATCCTACGCCACAGCTTAATCGACAGCTACAAACTATCATGTAAACGCAATAAATGAGATATATATGTATATTACCTTGGATACATCTATCTTTGGAAGGGGTCGCAAGTGTTCTGGCAATTCGTCTGGCTCCAGGGGTTCATCGTTTTCCTAAGACATTACTTTTGTCTTATAGGTACAACATTCATAGAGAGACAAGAAATGATTTTTTTTTTTATCTGAGAATCGAACATAACGGCCATACTTCCCACTGTTCCAGCAAGTGTTCCAGATCAGCGTCCGTCATATCTCGTATATCCTTGTCGCGCCACGATTTCTTTTTTCGTTCTTTAGTGGTCGACGTTGTCGCGACCATCGTGATGAAGAGCACAACCAAGCTCAAGACAATAATCCTCGATTCCATTTTGCAACCAATGGGAGGGAAAAATCACGTCTCTATCAAGAAGAATTTATCGTCGGACACTCTACGACCATTACAGGCGGATCTCTGAAAATCCAAGGAAGATCTCTGTTCAGTTCGACGTAACAACAGGAGGAGTTACCACTTGGTTTGATTTAACAATCGGAAATCAACCGAACTCAACATTTGAATTTTGAATGTCACAGAATTATTCATGCTTCGTCAATTAATTTTCAAGTTACGCCGAGAGAGAGATTCGGACGTTTCTCAGAATAATATAGAAAAGAGTTTAGCTTTAGCAGCATTTAAAAATTAAATTTTGAATTTAGTAAGGAACAAAAAGCACGATAAAAGATTTCCCAGATAGCACAGTTGATCTTTATGAATTCATAAAGATCAGATTCAGATCTTTTTGAATTCATAAAGATCAGCTGTGCTATCTGGGTTAACAAATGGCGAGTAGAAATGTCGCCGATATCTATTACCTTCAGAACCTTCAGTTAAACCTCTCACAACTCACAATTACACGACAATCAACATCGTACGATCGTACTGCCAGAACCTGCTAAAAACCAAACGAACGACCGAACGACCGAACGACCCCGAGACCAGCCAGACACGCACATGACACGAGTGCCGCGCGTACCAACCTACCAACCGAATGAAAAAGGACTAGAAGAGAAAAGAA